TTGCTAAAGCATGCTGTGAATTTGGACTAACAGTCAGTAAAAAGAAGACAAAGGTTATGGTGCAAGGTGTTAATGATAGACCTGCAGTCTACATTGACGGTGAAGAGTTGGAGACAGCTGACCATTTTACCTGTCTGGTTTCCACAGTGAATAACAAACTATTAAAATAAACATCAGGATATGTAAGGCAGCAACAACAATGAACAGGTGAACAAGTGTTTGGGAGAGCTGAAAGCTCACAATTAAAACAAAAACTCTTGTTTGTGTTTGTGACTGCAGGAAGGATAGGAAGAAACAGACTAAACACACATGTTGACAGTAGTGGTCCTGAAATCCCATGCTATCATTGTGGAAGACTTTTCTTAACGCGGGCACATCTTGCTAGTCACATTGGCCATCGCCATGGGCTGTGAGTCTGATGCCTCCTCATAGCGCAATATAACACTATTGTCTGGAAAGACAGAAGGAGCCAATCATCAGTATGTGTCAACAATGAGATGAAGAGAATACAGAACAGAGATATATGCTCCTATCTATATTCAGCTGTGTTTTGGCTAACACACTTGCACACCAGCCAGAAGGTCTCAGGCTTGAACTGGATTTAAAATAAAATGACTTGCATTGCCAGGTTGGCCCAGCCTAATTTGAGCACAGGAAATGCCTTGGAATTAATGGCAGCTGGTATGATGTTGATCACATTACCAATTGAGTGCAAAGCGGTCTATAAAAATGATTGCCTTGCACCATGTATCTGATGTTCCGTGTGTGGGTTCCTGGGCACATTGGTGGGGGAGGAGCTGGTATGGGTCCACTCCCCCAACATGCATGTCTACTAATTGGGGGTGTTTCCATCAAAGTTCGGCGGCATCTGCCTGAGAGGCGAGGGGCCGATAGTCTACATACAAATAAGCCAAATCTGTAAAATGGATGGGCAGTTAAAATTTGAGTTCTGGAACAAGACTAAAGACCAGAACTAGACGAACAACCAAAATGTTCTGGATTTACGGCCGATGAATGCAGATAAGAAGAAGATGTGGGTTTGGGATGAAAGAGGTCAGTTTTCCTTTTCTTTGGCAGTGATGGACCAAAATAAAAATTTAAAAAATTTAGCATCATTTCTTTTTCAGTGCTTGTTATTTTTAAAATGAATTAACTTTTTTTTATCGGGTTTAGAAAGCATATATCTTTGTAATTAGGATTTCTCCTATATTGTATTTGTATCTTCCCTAAAATTTCCTGCCTTTAGAAATACAAGTCAAGGATAAGAAAGTACGAAGCTGACATCGCTGAGCTAAACAGAAAACTGAAGCAGAGATGTGGCCTGTTTGTTACTTCGCGAAGAGATACTCGGGTATTTGTGAGGGCATTTGTGTGCATGTCTGTGAGCTGGTGAATTGGAGAGAATGTGAAACTAGAACACTTTGTGTATAACAGGAGATGTGAAAGTGATATATCCTAACAACTAGAACACTCAGTGTATAACAGGAGATGTGAAAGTGATATATCCTAACAACTAGAACACTCAGTGTATAACAGGAGATGTGAAAGTGATATATCCTAACAACTAGAACACTCAGTGTATAACAGGAGATGTGAAAGTGATATATCCTAACAACTAGAACACTCAGTGTATAACAGGAGATGTGAAAGTGATATATCCTAACAACTAGAACACTCAGTGTATAACAGGAGATGTGAAAGTGATATATCCTAACAACTACAACACTTTGTGTATAACAGGAGATGTGAAAGTGATATATCCTAACAACTAGAACACTCAGTGTATAACAGGAGATGTGAAAGTGATATATCCTAACAACTACAACACTTTGTGTATAACAGGAGATGTGAAAGTGATATATTCTAACAACTACAACACTCAGTGTATAACAGGAGATGTGAAAGTGATATATCCTAACAACTACAACACTCAGTGTATAACAGGAGATGTGAAAGTGATATATCCTAACAACTACAACACTTTGTGTATAACAGGAGATGTGAAAGTGATATATCCTAACAACTACAACACTTTGTGTATAACAGGAGATGTGAAAGTGATATATCCTAACAACTACAACACTTTGTGTATAACAGGAGATGTGAAAGTGATATATTCTAACAACTACAACACTCAGTGTATAACAGGAGATGTGAAAGTGATATATCCTAACAACTAGAACACTCAGTGTATAACAGGAGATGTGAAAGTGATAAATCCTAACAACTAGAACACTCTGTGTATAACAGGAGATGTGAAAGTGATATATCCTAACAACTAGAACACTCAGTGTATAACAGGAGATGTGAAAGTGATATATCCTAACAACTAGAACACTCAGTGTAAGACAAAAGATATGAAAGTGTCTGATGTATCCCAGCAAATAGAAAAGTCAGTGTATGACAAATAGTATTTAAGTTAACCCAAAAAAATTATTGTGCTGGGTTTTATCCCATATGGCTCAGTCTGTTACTGCATGGCAGCTGCTTGCCTGCCAAGTATTGTACAGAGCACAGACTCCATATCTTCATTGACAATCCCCATGGATTTTATTACAAAGAAAGTATTTATGCAGTTAGGAAAGTTAATAAAAGAGTAATAACATCATAAAAGAGCTGTCATTGGTTAAAAGGTTAATCAAGAATTTTTTTTCTTTTTTTTTCTTCTTTGCGTTCACCAGCTGTAAACTCTGGTGGAAAGTTATGGCTGTTCGTCCACTTCTGGACTCCAGTCCTGCTCCACAACCTGAGTGTTGTGTGTGCATCAGTTTTATAGATCTGATTCACTTGAATGCACACTGTTGGTTTCTTGCCTCTCAGGTAGATACACTCCAACTTCAAAGAAAGCTCCCCAATCAGTTGCATCTTACGACATGCTCTTGGGTAGGCAATGGGTCTATTCTTGTTTTCCCCCACAATGGAGCCCAGGAACCCACAAAGGGAACTTCTCTCATGTAGACAGTAACCTAAACACTAAAAGGGATCATCATCATGTAGCAGGTCCTTTGCAGAATGTCGCTCTCATCACAGTCTGCCTGAAAGAAACTCGGTCTCTCGCCAGTTCTCCCACCTCATGTACTTTCATACTCAAGGAGTCACTTATATCCTGTGCCTATCTTCGTGTTGGTCTGCCCCTCCTTTCCTGGCACCATGCCTTCTGCTATAAATTTTTTCCAATCCGTCGTGGCGCTTGATGTGACCAAAATATTTCAGCTTCCGAGAAAGGATGCTGTTTATTAGCCAATCTTCCTTGATGTTCAGATCTTTTAAGATGTCAGTATTTCTTCTCTTCTTTGTCCAAGATAATAGGGATACACAGAGATAATAGGTAATCACAGGTCCAACTTCACGGCAAATGGGACACCCCATGGTTACTCTGTTCCTGTGTCTGTGAAAAAAGACAGAATGACCATCGATGTGCCTTGTGAAAAATTGATGCAACCTGCATGAAATGCCTAAGACAGCCCTCAAAAGTGCCAACACAAATAATACAACACTAGAAATATAGTTTATTGTGGGTGAATGGATGCAGTAATTACCACACATTTGTAGTTGCACACGCAATTAATCGCATGAGGCATCACCAGTTCTGTGTCAACAGTTTGCTTGCCATTTTCCTAATCTGCAGTTCACAACACCAACAAAGCTGGGCAGTCAAAAGGCAGTCCAACCTCAATCTGTAGTTCACAGTGTGGTGCCATGCGCTCAACTCAGTAGATGGGGTGATGGAACTATAGGATGCCCAAGGAAAATATTTGTTAATAACACTAAAGACTGCAAGGCTGGGCTTCAAACTTGTTCTTTCTGTGACAGTTAATGTTCACAGTGAAATTTGATGATAATGATTGGGGCTGGGAAAAGTTTAAGTACAGAAAAATGGACACACATTTTAATTGTTAGATATTTGTTTGAAATTTTTTTAAACTGAAAGAGCCAGAAACTGTGTGTTTAAAAAAATTGTTTACCTTTTTTTTTTTTTTTTTCAGTATCCAACATTTTGTAAAGAGGTTAAGGAGGAAATTACATCTGATGGGGAGCTGGAGGAGAACATTGAAAATGTATTTGAGGAAAATGAGACTTTGAAGTCACGTAATGTGTTATATAAAACCGAGATTGAGGGGTTGGAGGCTGATAAGGCCAGAGAAGAAGAAATAATATTGCACTATGAGGGAGAAATTAGGAGGTGGCAGGAGAAGGCTGAGATGCTGGAGTGGGAGAGAAACATGCAAGACATGAAGCAGGAGAAAGGGCTGTTGGAGACTAGTTGTTTAGATGAACATGAACTTTCTGGGAGGGATCCGCACGATGATCTGGAGATGCAGAAGAAGGAGCTGCTGAACGAGTGGAAAGAGGTGAGCAGGTTGAAAGAAGAACTGAATAAACAAGCCATATATATTGAAAACACATTGTGCGCGATGGAGAAAGAGAAGGAGGGGCTTCAGAAAGAGAGAGACAGCATTGACAGAGAGTGGAATGACTGTGAAAAGGCAAATGATGACTTGAGGAAAGAGAAGGAAGATTTTGATAAGAAACTGGAAGATTTTGAAAGTGCAAGGTTACAAGAGGCAGCAAATCAACCTCGAGGAATTGATGCCGACAGAACTGAAAGGGATAATGTGATATTAGAAAAGGAAAAGGAGTCACTTTTGCTACAGTTAGAGTCACTGAGACAGAGTGTTTGTGAGTTAAATGCACAAAAGTGTGCTCTTGAGTCAGAAATGTCAAAAAGTGTGTCTAAATATGAAGATAAAGAAAAATGTCTGCTGGAAGATACTGATATGCCAGGGGCTGACAGATTTCAGCAGAAAGATTGTGAAGCTCTGAGAAATGTGCAGAAGCAGCTGCAAGACAGAGAAATAGCATTTTCGGAACAAGAAGCAATTACTGCAAGAATTCAGGATAGATGTTGCATGCTGGGGGAACTCAATGAAAGACTGGAAGAAGAGGTTCAGCAATTAAGAATGGCACAGTGCAATCAAGAAAAAGAGAGGGATACTGAAATGGCAAAACAAGGCAACTCAGAAGAATGGAAGAAATTAGCAAAATTCCAAGAAGAGCTTGCCAAACAAGAAGAGAATGTAGAGAGTAAAATAGAAAGATTGTGCATGCTGGAGGAGGAAAAAGAACAATTTGAAGAGGAGAAGGGCATCTTCTACAGAGAAAAAGAGTGCTTGAGGGAAGCTGAGAGGGATTTGAAGAGAGCAAAAGAAACTTTCAGACAAGAAAAATTTAAAGCATGTCAGGAACTAGAACAAGATGGAGAAAGTGACATAATTAAAAGAAAACAAATGTTGAAAGAGGAAGAGGAAAGGCTACACGAGCAACGGGAGCACCTCAGAAAACTCCAGGAGAAGTTTCATCAAGAAAAAGAAGCTTTCAGTCAAAGAAAATCAGAAGATCAGGCAAGAGAAATACTGATAGTAGATCAAGAAGCACTGACCAGGGAAATGATAAATGAAAAAACAGCATTTCTTCAGCAAGAACATGCACGACTTCTGAGAGAACAGGAAATTCTTGAAAGAAAGAACATAGATCTTCACGAAGAACATGAGCAACTAAACAAAGATCTTGATGAGAGAGAAGCAATGCATCAGAAAGAAAAAGAAGTATTCCAGCATGAAAAGGAGACACTTGAAGAACAGATAGCAGTTTTTCAAGAAGAGCAAACAGTTTTCCAGAAAGAACAAAAATCATTTAAAGAGAGGAGTGTAGCTTTTGAACAGAAGCAAGAAAGACTTGAAAAGGAGGAAGAAATTATTGCGCAGAATATTATATTAGTTCAAACACAAGAAGAAAGACTTCAGACAGAAAAAGAAATGCTAGAAAAGACAATTGCTGCTTTTCAGAAAGAGCAAGAGGACTTTCAGACAAAGGTTCACATTTTTGAAAAAAATAATGGAGCTTTTCAAGAAATGCAAGGCAGATTGCACAAAGAGTTAGAAATATTTGAAAAGGAAAGAATGACTCTTCAAAGCGAAAAAGAGAAATTCCAGAAAGAAAAGGAACTTGAGAAAAAGTGCATTCTGTTTCAGGAGGATCAAAGAAGATTGCAGATCGAGAAGTCAGCACTCGAGGATGCAGTTAGTGGTTTACAAGAACAACACTCAAGATGCCAGGAAGACATGAATATATTTCAGGATGACAAACTTCGGCAGGAAAAACACGAAAGACATTCACACGACAAAGAATCACAGGGTACAGAACAGACTGCAACAGATCCTCAGACGAGTGCTGCAACAGATCCTGATTTGAGTGCAGCAACAGATCCTGATTTGAGTGCAGCAACTGATCCTCAGATGAGTGCGGTAACTGATCCTCAGATGAGTGCTGAAGAGCTTATGTTGGTGCTGGAGAGAGTGGAAGATGATCTAGATGATGCATACGAAAAGATCGACCGCCTGGAGAACCTGATCACCAGAGGCAAGGCAGTCCTTGCAGAGAAAACGGAAGCAGCCAAAGAGGCTAATGACAAGGTCAAGGTGAGTCATTTTTGTATGCTGTTTGTGTGTGTGTGTGTGTGTGTATGTTTTTTTTCTTCCATATGTTGTATGAATGTTTGAATGACAGTGACCCACAGTTATCTTCAACTCTGTCATGGATGATGTTTTCCCAGCCTGAGCTGCTACCTGAAGATTCGACACTGCAGTGATCAGCACCTCCATTATGGGTAGTGAGACAACATGATCCATCCCTGATACCCCATTCAGCTGCTTAAGGAATTATAATTAGGGCAGGGATAATGGCTTGGGAAGTATTGCTCTGTGGTATCCTACTGTCTGATTGAGCTTGTTAAAGATACCTTAATAATCTTTGGTGTTCTTTAGTTTTACAGAGTTTAAAAAAAAATAATTTAAAACATTAATCCTGTTTTAACATTCACACTATATACCCTACAGCTAATCACCCCTTCATGCCTTTAGCTAGTCACCCCACATAACCTGTAGTAGTCACCTCACAAACTTTGTACATCCTTTTTCTCTAATCTCTTCTTCTGTCCACATTTTTGTTAAGATGGTTTGTGGAACTCCTGCTTGCCATGTAAGTGAATGTAAAAATGAATTTCAAGTAACTTTTGTGAAAAGTAATTGACAGGCATGCTCCAAGCAGAGTGGCAAGCATCGCTTCAGAGGTCCTGAGTAGTTGGCATCCTTTAGGTCATTTCTCCAGGCTGTGCTGGTGTATTGGGAAATGAGCAGGCAGATAGACTGACCAGTTTTGCACCACTTGACGGTGAATTGATGTATGACAAGCTAGATGTTGTGAGGGTCCTTTGGGAGCGAGTCAACAGTCTTCTTCTTCTGCCTTTCTATCCCCCAATGGAGCATAGGCCCTCAACCAACTCACGCCAAGTCGTTCTATCCTTCGCCATTGCATGGAGCTCTCCCCATGTCCTCCCCATCTTTCTAACTTCATTCTCCAGCTCTCTTCTCCATGTGTTTTTTGGCCTTCCTTTATTCCTATGCCCCTGTGGGTTCCAATGCAAAGACATTCTAGTTATGCTGTTCTCCTGTTTTCTCAGTGTGTGTCCTATCCAACGCGAGCATCTTTACCTCACCTCTTATATCTGGCTGACAGTTACTAGTGACCTCCGAATTGGAACTATTTGCTTGCTGCTGAAGATGGGAACTGTGCACTTATGGGAGTATACCGAGTGCTGTAATGTTGACACTTAATTCAACATTCAACTGCATGTGTTAAGAAGTCTTCAGCAATTAAAGCACAGAAGTTCAGGACCATTGTTGCCCTCACATGTATTTGACATACTTCTCAGATGCTCAGCTCTCAACTGACACGCAGTCATTTCTTCTTTTTTTTTAAAAAATCTCTATTCCCTTCATGATTTTCTACTGTCAGACCATCACAAGGTGTCTTGGAAACATCCAGGATCTGGCCACTGGCACCAGTTGGATCTTATTCTCAGAAGGAGCAGCACCTAAACTATGTACCACTAACTTGCAGCTGCCACAGTGCTGACTGACACTGACTGACTGTTGCAC